CCTTAGTAGAATTTTATATAAATAAAAAATTCACTTGTTTAGTCGAACATTTTTATTTAAAATTTAAAGTGCAGGCACTAAAATGTGTTTCGGAAACACTGTTCTATCTTCTTGTGCCAGTTAATATTTAATAAAACATTTTAAAATGTTTTACAACGTGTGAAGGTGTATTCGAAATAATAATGTGGTTTAATAATATTTTAAAATCCTAAAAATAGACTAACAATTTTTTAGAAAAAACTTTGATGTCAGCAACGAATTGCAAATTTTTAAAAGATGGCTATTTTTTTAAATTTTTTATAATATATCAAGAGCCTAAAAATAGCCTAAAAAATGTGGCGTAGTTTAAAAAAACGAGGTGTTCTGCTGGCTTTGCTGGCTTCATTCGAAACTACAAAAGCATTCCTTATTTTTTAAAAATAGCATTTTTTTATTTTGTAATATCTCAAGAGCCTAAAAATAGCCTAAAATATGACATAGTAGTTTTTAGACGAAAAAGAAACCTTTAAAACCCGAGACGCTCTAATGGCCTTGTTCGAAGCTAGAGAAAATAGCAGTTTTTTGCAAAAAACTTTAAAATATATTAAGATCCTAAAAATGTGGCAAAAGTAGTTGTTTTTAAGTGAAAAAACATGTTAAAAACACCCAGATTCTCTGCTGATTTTGTTCCAATAAAGCACTCTGTATTATTTAAAAATAGCACTTTTTTAGTAGTTTTATAATATCTTAGTTTAATAATATTATAAATATATATTATAAAATATTTATATTAGTTATATAATATATAAGTAATAAGAGCCAATGTGGTGTGGTTGTTGCTAAAAAAAAAATATACTTTAAAAAACCGAGGTGCTCTCCACGCTTCGTTCGAAGCTAGCAAAGCACCCTGTATTTTTTAAAATCAACAATTTTTTAAAAAGGTTTTATAAGATTTTAAGAGCCTAAAAATACCCTAAAAATATGGAGTTTTTTTTGAAAAACTTTAAAAAATGAGGTGCTCTGCTGACCTTGTTCGAAGCTAGCAAAGCACCTTGATTTTTGGAAAAAAGAAACGAGGTGCATAGAATTTTTAAATATGGTATAAAAATAGCCTTAAAATAGCCTAAAAATATGGCACAGGTTTCAACTCAAAATTCCCTAGGTGCAATATCACAGCCATGGAAGAAGCCAATGTGATCATGCAAACAGAGAAGATCACCATCAGCACAGATGAGGAGGTTGAGCAAAAGTTCAACCAAGGCTATAAGAAGTTCTGGTTGCAGCGCATCATTAAAACACATTGCTGAAAAATACCTTATCGTTCTCCATCATCATACCTAGTCGAAAAAGGCTTTAGAGTGGTTACAAACATTTTGACAAAACAAAGAATACGTTTAAAAAGCAACGAACGTGGAGATTTAAGGCTCACCAATATTGAAACAGTTTTAGCTATATTGGTAGGAAGAATTTTTTATTTCTTTTTTATCTTTACTTTGTGATTTTAATGTTTTTTTTTGACATAGGATTTTTAATGTAATTTGACTATGGGTGTCTGATGTATCAGTTCATTTTAGAAAAGGATCCTCTCGCGCAAAATAGTTGAGGAATCGCTGGTCTAGAGGTAAAGGTTCTTGCTTTAAACGAAAGCGGGTAGGTTCTTCAAGATTGGAGTCTATAATAAAATGTATAGAGTGTGGTACTTCAAGACCTGCAGTAAGTAGCCAGGACATTTCTCGGAAATTGAAATCCTCAACCATCACAAGATTGTCTAGAGAAATAGATAGGTATGAAAGTATTTCAAAAGTTGTTGGTCGTTCTAGAGAAGTTATCTTTGGAGGACGATATAAACATATCAGATAGGTTGAGAAAGATTTGTATGATAGTTCTAACGTGATTAAATCTATACTGTGAATCTTAATTTCTAAATCGCTGGAAGATAAACGCAGACCCCTTCATCAACACCATTTATGCGGTCGCTTTTGTAAATTTTAAATCCAGGAATGTCAATCGGGAATAGACATCTTGAGTCAAGGTTCAGAAATTATAATACTGTTGGAAGAAAAATCTTGAATTTACCAGTTAGATAATCCATAAATGTCTAATCGTTAAATTGTGGAGATTGTAGGCTACATGCCATGATATTTGTGGTAATTTTAAGACACCTTTATCCTTTGTTAAAAGATTTGTTTTATTTCTTCAATATATTGTGTTCCATTTTAATCTTTGCAATAATTTATAGTTACAAATGCAATTACTTTACATGACAAGCTTGTCTACTAGATCTTTATAGAAATAAATGAAATGGATAGTATTAGTTATATAGTAAATATTCAAGCTAATAACAAAGTTAATTTAAGAAAATAAAGAAAAAGTTTAAAAAATTTGTTAGAAAACACGAGTAAGGGCTTACCATAAATCGCATAACTTTTTGGGATACTAGTGAGTTTACGATATTGATTGATTCTTTGATTCATAACACCATCCAAATACAAACACTCCAAAGCTGCACTTCAAAAAATAGCAAGATCATGCTTTTCCAGGGAAACTGAACATTGTTCCTTCTTGACTAAGGAAGGTATCTTACTCGCAAAAGATGAACATATCAAAATAATTCTGGAATGGATTCCAGGCCACTCTAGGATTCTGGGTAACTTCAAGGCAGATCAATTGGCAAATATAGGAAGATCTCTGAATATTCCAGTGAATATCAAATTAAACTATCATAATTTCTTTCCATTCATCAGAAACATTGTGAATTCAAGATGGCTTGAAGAATAATGAAATAGCCTCAAGAGTAGGAAGAATTCCTTTTATTCTAAAGTCGTTCCGTGATTTGATAAAATCCCTTGGTTTTTAAATTTTCCCTACAAGGACAGAAGACATTTAACTACAATAATAAGGATGAGGACAGGACATTGCCTATCCCCATATCACTTATTTCGTATAGGTGTAAAAGATGATCCATTTTGTGAGTGTGGTCAAATTGGCTCATTAAACCACATTATCTTTGAATGTCCCATAAATATGATGGCAAACTTTGATTTATACTCTGAACTGGCAAAAACTAAGCTTTCTACTCCCTCTGATATTTGTTTTATGTTGGCTAACTTTAATAATAGCAGATTAAACATTCTAATCAAATTTTTAAATATATTTAAAATTCAATTATAACCCTAATACTTTATCCTCTCTTTCAGTCCTGGGTGCTCCTTCTAGTTACCGTTGGCAGTTTTCCGGTTGTGTTCAGCTTGGCGACTGCCCCCAAGCGAGAAAAGTTTTTATCCTGTGTTGTGACGTCTATGTACTAACTTTGTATGCCCCTCTACGTATATAACTCAAGTAGTAACATTAATCAGCTTTTTACTTTAAAATATATAAATATATCAATTTAATAGAGGGTATCCAATTGCTGAGAGCAAGACAAGGATACTCTCCCTGTTGTTGACTTGGTAAATTATCCTGTGGGATATATCCCAATAAAGGAGGAAGAAGAAGAAGAAATACAAACACTAGGGTTATCAGCTATTAGTCAAGTATATTATGATGGATGATTATTAAACAAATAAGAGTATCGGAAGTCATAAATAATATTTGAGCTTCTGGCTTTTCAACTAAAGTAACTGTATATTCTTTCTAGTACCGCCACTGTGAAGTGGACATTTTTATTTAAATAAATATTACCTACATTTCTTTATGAGTCACTATTATACTCACGAAGTTGTAAAATTGATTTATAACAAATGTTAATGAGTTTTTTTTATTAATAAATGAATTTACATGAAATTACAGTCAATGGACATTTAATTGGAAAAATATTTTACTAAAAAGAAATTAATAAGAAAATCGTGCGTCATATTAATAGATATTTTTATATTATTAACTCTGCTCTTAAACAGTAAATTTAAAAGGATTCTTTTTAGTTTTTTTTCTTAAATATCATCGCTGTTTTTCTCTACTTATTTCAGTAAGATCTTATCTGATACATATTTTTATTTTTCAGAAAAAGCAAAACGTTTATAACAAATGTCAACATTTCAACACACTAAATTATCTACTTATCTAGATTTTTATCCAAGTTGCTTTGTTTATTTAGAATGTATGAAATCTATGATGATGAATAACAATGTACATTTTTTTCTGCTAAAATTGAAAATGGCTGAAATTAAATTTAAAAGTAAATACGAACGTTATTTAGTTTCATTAATAATTATTGACACTTATCATTATTACTGTTGTTGTTAGTCATATTTTCTGATAATTGTTTTTCTGCTACTTATTGTGTTAACAGATATATCAACATTTTAATGGGCTGATTAAATGAATTCTTTCAAATTTCATGTATTATACACGGTTTTTGGAAAGGTGTATCTTGAATAACTCAACAATTTTTGGCAGCCTTTTCTGATATCATTTAATTAGTAATTGAATGCAATATTTCCAAACGGAATCAGAACAATATATGTAGCAGTTTTAGGACAATTAAAAGTTAAAATTTTGTTTCTTCCTTCAATAATCTCCATTTTCTCTAATAGTAGAGTTCGCTAGAAAATTATTATCACTACTGAGAATAACTAAAAGAAATTTAAGAAAATTTGATTACTCAAACCACACTTTTTCTTAAATTACTTCTTGTTTTTATTGATAAGTTATTTGGCAATAGAATTTTAATTTTAAAACTAGGAATTTTTAATTTTATCGTTTTTAAACATTAAAATGAAGATGGTACGTTTATTTTATTATTTTTTAAAACGTAAAATTCTACTATTATTTATTTCATATCAAGGTAAACTCTAAAATTACGCAAACTTCCTATGACAACAAGAAATATTTTATAGTAAATTGTAGCTTTTAGATATTAATTATCAAATTACATTGAATTAAAATTTTTTATATAAAATATTTCGCGGAATAAAAATTATCTACATGACAAGATATGATGCGCTCAAATATTTAAACAAGTAAACATAAAATTGGTATTAATTACATTATTTTTTTGAATTTTTTATACAAATCAAACTTACCAATGCGTTGCTATTACTGGGGGCAGTGTAGACGTACTTCAAAGAACACAAAATAATCACTAAAACATGCATCTTAATACCCGACATTACTACAGATCAGGTGAGACTAATAAATTCGAACTGGAATATCTTTTATCAGTCTTTTATCAGATAAAATTAAGATAAGGCGTTACAGGGCGGTAAATGCTTTGTGCGCGAATTTTTTGTGTATATTTTTAAAAGAAAAAAAAACTCTGGTCAAACTTCATCAATCAAGTACTCGTCTGCGTACTGAAACGATAGTTTGACGGGAGTTTACGTATGGGCAGACGCGGTGGTCGCTGGAACGGCGGCTTACGGAACACTGAAAGTTTTCGCGGCCGCGACGCGTGTTTATATGGATCTCGCGAGCGACTAACCTACCGCAAGGATTCTTGCGCCAAAGTTGGCTCGATTTTTATGCGTTTTTTTTTTTCATAAAGAAATTTTGCGGTTTCGGTTATTCTTCCTATGTTAGTTTATGGGTTGATTGGTTTTGGGTTTTTGCTCAGTTTATTTCTCTCCGGAAGCGAATTATATCTTTATTGTTATGAATATTATTAAATACTTCATTGTCTTCATTATTAACATAACATAAAGTGTAAAACAATACTGGACAACAAGTTATATTTTTAGCTTCTTCAAATTTTTAAAAGTTTATTCTGTGTATCTGTATATTTTTAGATATTCAGAAAGTATCTTCTTTTTTTCTAATAATATATACACGTATACAGGGGCGGTTTCTCAATTGGATCATTTGTGCAGTGAACACCCAGTTACATTTCATAAAAACACATTATTTTAAAATAAATAACGAAAATATAAATTCAATTTTAATAATTTTATTGGTACGCCACTGCGCTCTGACTCTCTGGCTAATCGCGTCTCTTTGGCTCACTTTTCTGAGTGATCTCGAGGGAGCAAGATGCTTTCGCGAAAGCCACCAGCTAAAAAGAGACGTCAACACGTTAACAACGTCACAAAGTAGGGCGAGAGATCCGAATCGTTCAAATCATAGATATAGAATAAAGAGATGCAATGACCGTACAAAATCTCTTTAGGGACTGTAAATCCTGGTATAATATATGCCTGTTACCTCCATATGCCTGAGTAGGGAGAATGACTCGTTGTCCTGTAGCTCTCTTCGCAGGTGGTTTTTTTATTTGTGAATTTTTGCACGTTCCCAAAGGCCATTGTATGTAGAACGAAATTTGATTGCTGGATGTGGTAGTACTTCCAACTCCTTTAAGAGACGTGACGGAAACGTTGATTTCTTGATGTATATTTTTTCTAGATGATCATTCCAATTTCATAAAAATAAGTGGTTCACTTCAACAACCTCAAAACCGGAAGGTTTACAATGTACTTCTCGAAAAACTTTGACTCATTCATTGGGCAATTCAGCTTTGGCCTTAGTATTAATCAGTCCCATATTTTTATCACATTTAAGGTATAAATTGATTGATTGATTGAAGTGCAATTTAATCCCGAAAAGGTTAGAAATAAATTACTTAAGTTGAAGAACCACTCTTTTCCTGGTATTGATGGATTAAGTTCTTTCTTTTTAAAAAAGTATGCAAACACACTGTCCTACCCGCTTTCCACAATCATGACCATGTCTTTTAAAACATCTACTCTACCCGACTTATGGAAAATTGCGCCAGTCACAGCTATATTTAAGAAGGGTGACAAAATGGATGCTTCAAATTAGAGACCTATAAGCCTTCTGTCTATCCCATCAAAAATCATGGAAAGCATGGAAAGCATCATAGTTGATGTCATGACTAACTTTTTCAAAGAGCATAACGTAATACCAAAGGAACAACACCGTTTTGTTAAAGGTAAATCTACCATAACAAATCTTTTATGCTGTATTAACGATTGGTCTCACTAACTCGAATGCAAACAACCAACTGATGTAATTTATCTCAATTTTTCAAAGTCTTTTGATAAGGTCCCTTTCGTCAGACTGCAGCACAAACTTTTGCTAAAAGTCTGGTCTTATACCCTAGCTACATTCCCATTTTCATCTTCTTTTATTTTGAAAAGCCATTTGCAATCTACTGCTTTTCGATTAGCAGGTAACTCAACAAGCGACCACGTAGCATTATCTTGTAGAGCACGCATTTCTTCGCCGACTGCTTTTAGCCATTTATCCTTATCATCTTTGGTAAAGATTTCTTCATAAAATTAAGGAACGTCGTCTAAGAACTGTTCTGCAACGAATACCATAGTACCATAGCTTTGTAAATGTTCTGGTTTCTTACACACTCGTGAACTACGACGAATCGTTTTCTTCCGATACAGCTTCTTCATCAGTCTCTTTTGAAACATAATCGTTAAGTTCTCTTCTAGGAATCTCTACCTTCCGAAGTCAAAGATTACATCATGATCTTTTAAAACTTTTTGTTGCTCGAGACTCCATAACTTATATCCATTAGGACAAAAACCCAACATAATGCATTTTTGCATACAGCTTTCCAACTTATTTTTAATCGTTGTTCTGGTAGACGAAGATATGCAGCACACCCAAATACTTTTAACTTTTGCATATTAGGTTTTTCACCATACCAAAGCTCAGCAGGTGTTTTATTGTGTAGAATTTTTGTAGGGGACCTATTAATTATATAGGCAGCAGTCAATACTGCTTCAGACCACATGATTTTATTTACTTTGGATCAACGAAGTAGACAGCGAACTTTTTCCATCAAAGAGCGGTTCATTCTCTCAGCTATCCAAGTACATAACTATGGATGAGTTGTAGCGGTCTCTTTAGAATCTCCAAGCAAATATCTGATCTTTTTCAAGCTTGTGTTGCTAATGTGCAAAAGACGCTGATGCCAAATATTCGAAATTGCACCCGCATAAGTCGCATAAATTAAAGTCTCCAAAACGTAAATTTTATTTGCTTGATTGGCGACAGCAACAACTATTTTATCCTTGAAAATTGTAGCAGCTGCTTTTTCAAAAACCACCTTTTTCCAGAGGCATCAAGTTTACTCACGGGGAGAAGATTAAATTGAAGGCCAGGAACTATAAGAACACCTTGAATATTTTGGAAATGACGTTTATTTTCGCAACTAATAACAACTGGAACGTTGCATACTTCGATAGCTTCAACAGTACCTGATTTGGCAACCTTTATAATTATTTTACTTGATAACGAACGAATATTATTTGCAAGATGTGAATAGCTCTCACATAACATGTGCTCTGTTGCACCAGAGTCTAGCACCCAAACTCCTGCTTGCACACTACTTATAGCAGAGTTGCGCAGCGGAATCGTGCTGGGCGCATAACCTGAAGTAAGGCAGAACTCGATGGAAAGGAAGAATAACTTTATTATATAAAGAATAATATGTGAAAACTTTAATAATTAATTGACAACTCTATCAACCAACATACAATAGAGAGTTATTGCAAGTTCACTTAAGGTCAATCACTATTAGTGCCGCTCTTATTTTGACATCTGAGCATGCGTAGATCACTAATTTTAATAAAGATTGTGCCTGTCCTTAATAAGAGAGTTATTGCAAGTTCACTTAGGGTTAGTCACTATTAGTGCCGCTCTTATTTTGACATCTAAGCATGCGCAGATGTTTATGTTCTAAAACTGACTTTATTAAGGATTGTGCCTGTTCTTAATTATGGATGTTTAAGGGCAGCAGGTAGTGGCGACTTTATAGCTTTCGGATGCGCTCGCCGACATTCATATCCATTAGAAGTTTTTTAATATTAAATATTTAATATAATCGTCATTTAAACCTTCTAAAATTATAATTTCTAATGCCTCTTTAATATTAGGTACTATAATAGAATTTATTTGACTGTCACTATTAGTGACTGGCTTTATAGATATTTGCAATATCTCTCTATTAAGGACAGGCACAATCTTTATTAAAGTTAGTGTTCTGCGCATGCTCAGATGTCAAAATAAGAGCGGCACTAATAGTGACTGACCTTAAGTGAACTTGCAATAACTCTCTATTATCATTTTTATATTTGCTAGATATAGTAGTCTAGTCTACAACAGTTTCAGTAGCAGCAAAAATAATATATACATCTCCTATGTAAAGCTCATTTTTTCATTAGATCTATTTGAAACCTGCAACATTTTAAATAAAATAAAACCCTGATATTTTTATATTGTATTCCTAATAATGATTTTTGTTCCAGGTAAGATACCATTGACAATGAAAAATACAAAAATATAATTTTTATTGTCGGTAAGTTTTTTGATCCATGTAAATTAGGTTAGAACATTTTTTGTAGTTGTGTCTCTACTAGTAGACTGTATTGTCTATAGGGACGTTGGGAGTTGTGTGAAATATTCTAAATATCTAATTAATAAATTTTAAGTAAAGAAATATGAAAATAAGTATGAAAATAACACTTGGTTTTCTGTGTCACAGATATCATTAAGAACTCTGAAACAATTTACAACTTTTAAACGTTGGTAAAAAAATAATTACCTACATTTTACTTCAAAATATCAGATTTTGTTAGGTATTTTGAAAAACATATGATCAATCTATACAAAGCCCTTCAACAGCCATTTCGTTTGTAATGTCTAATATGTAATGTCTAATAGTAAGTGACATTTACGGATGAGGAAGTGACGCTAGCCAGGAAAGTGAAGTAAGGAATAAGTCACTTCCCATCTATTTCGAAGGGTTCAAATCAACTAACCGATAAGGAGTATAGTAGTTTGTGCAACAAGAGGGGATATGGACAATCCACTCGAGTTGTACAGTATATTTTTTCTACGATCTACTAACGAACATTTAATTAGTCCCCAGCCCCAGTCCAAAACGCCCAAAACTCATTTTAATGTATATTTAATATGAATCTAATGACAATTAGTTGGACAGAATTGTCACTTATTTAAAATTTTAAAAATAATAGCAGTTGGGTGTCCAAAATATGAACTGTGATTGGTGGATTTCATTTTTTTTGCAGTGTTCTCTCTACCTAAAATTAATATGAAATATATTCGTTCATTTGAACGCAATAGCATACTTTTTCGTTTTGTAGTCTGTGCGTAGATAAGCTTATTTCCATGTGGATGTAGGAAAAGTACATTATCATTTTCCAATTGATGATATTATATTTGTTTTTCCAACTAGAGCAAAAAGTAATACTTTTTCACCTACATGCAGCTTAAAAAATTGACAATTGTTTCCCAAACCTATAGAATATATGGACGTGAATTATAGAAAAGAAACAGAAGACTTCAAAGTAGTTTGTACCACCTAAAATAAAAGGTAATCATAAAGAATCTTAAAGAATAAATCAAATTTTTGATTTAGACTTGATCATTCAAGAATCACCGAATTTTCAATATTAAAATAATTACTAT